ATATATATATATATATATATATATATATATATATTTTTTTTTTTTTTTTTTTTTCAGATATACTATATTTTTAAGAATGTTGAAAGGGATGTATGACAGATTTATGTTGATCTATGACATAAAATCAAATTGAAATGCATTCAATTTTGTGATTGTAACATAACACATGTGAGTTGGAGCATCACTACCTTATGTGAATATTGTCAGAAAACGGAATTCACTAAATGTCAATTTTTTTATTTACAAAATACATTTCTTCATAAAGAATAAAAAGCATTTTATCCAAGTAATTTATTTTGTTCATCAGAAATAAAAAATCTTTAAGAAAACAATCAATAACTCACACAGAAATATGGCACCGTCTAGCGGCCAAACTGTGGTACTTTCTCAAATACAGCAAGGAAAAACATTTTTAAAGTTATCAAATGACTCTTGGCCATTGATAGAAGAAAATACATTTTAGTGTATTTTAAAATAAAATAAAATAAAATAAAATACAATAAAATAAAATAAAAAATAAAACATTGATATGTTTATACTTTTAATAATAATAATAATAATAATAATAATAATAATAATAATAATAATAATAATAATAATAATAATAATAATAATCAATTTAATTTGTACCGCACTTTTCATTAGAAAAATCTCAAAGTGCTACACAGTGCAACTAAAATCATAGATAAAATCAACATAATCAAAATCATGTGGAGGCAGAATAGGCTTGCTTAAATAAAAAAAAAATCTTTAAGCCTCTTTTGAAGTGAACCAGTGGTTGCAGAGCTCTCAAATAAACTGGGAGAGAGTTCCAGAGACGGGGGGCAGCCACAGCGAATGCCCGATCTCCCATGGTCCTTAATCTGGAGCGAGGAAGGTGGAGGAAGTTGCTGTATTGTGATCGCAGAGATCTGGTGGATGAATGTGGAGTGAGAAGGTCCTTTTTAATCCTTTTTAAAATTTGATTTCAAGATTTAAACAGACAACGCCTCCTTTTCACAGATCCACTGTTGGTTTTCATTGCACTGCACTGATTTCCATCCTTGTTTTTCAAGAGAAATAACACATTGATTGTCATTTTCAGGTTGTGGAATCCAGCTGCTGCAGGAAAGAAAAATATAAAAAGTTAAAAAAGAATTATTTGTCTTTATTATGAGAATTTCTGAATATGTGTTTCTTACTGGTTGGTCAGTTCACTTCCATCAATCCACTTCCATTTGTTGTCCTCTGCTTTCAGGCCAATCCAGTATCCTCGAGTCCCTGAACTGCCCCAACTTTTCTCAGCGACAAAGCCCTAAGAAAGAGAGAGATAAAAAAACAACAAAAAAGAACATAAGAGATGTTCATCTGGTTCAAAATGTTGAGGTTTGTTCCCGTTCTCAGAACATTTGAAATATGCATGAGATCTCGCTCATTACCTTTTCAATTTCATCAGAAACAACAACCAAATCAGAAACTTTTGCCCTGCAGTCTTTTCTGGCATCTTCCCAGGTTTTCCTTTGAAGACTCTCTGCGTTGTTTATTGCATAGCAGCTGGACTGAGACGGAAGCCATCCTTCCTGACAAGATTTGCATGTTCGTCCTGAAACAGCAGAGATTCAGAAGTAAACAAAAGACCTTCATTTTTATATTGTTTTTTTTTTTGCCAATTTTTGAGCATAAACAGTGAGATCTGAACATACCGTTATTTTCTTTGGGGCAGTATGCATCAATGGCCCACTGAGCATGGCTGACGTTCTGCCTTATCTCTAGGTTTTGTATTTGCTCTGTAAGGTTTCTCCTTTCTGACTCCAGCTTCTGGTTTATTTCTGTGAGATTCGCGACCATACTTTCTGTGACAGTAAAGTCTTTTACGAGACTCTCAAACTGAATGGTCAGATTGTCGTGATCCTTCCTCAAATTGTCAAAGTCTGACGTGAGTTTGTTGTTGAGGTTCGTCAGGTTGTAATTTTCATTCAGAAGAGTCGTTTGGTTGCTTTTTAGCTGGTCCCACTCAATGTCGACAGACTTCGGACGTACTAAGACTGCATATAAAAAAAAAAAAAGTAACAGATTGTAAAATAGTGATAATGCAACACAGGACTTTTTTCAGTACATTACCACATTTGAGAACTATTTCCTGTTCTGTAAATCTAATTTTCAACCCAGTTACACTTTCAAATATTTCAACTCTGTCAAAGAAATTTGATCTCATCTCCCTGTAACTTGAATGGTAATTAAATGAGGGTTAGTTGGATCATCAAGGAAGCAACACTTTCAAACGCCCATAGAAGCAAAATTGTTAAAGTAATGTTAAGATAGAAAAAAACCTCATTATTTTCAGCTAGAAAAATACTGCCATTTGATCTTGTTGTATAAAACTCTGTGTTGTATAAAACATGTTTTTAGTGTAAATTCAGCATCATTTGTGACCAATTTCTACTGTTTTAATAAATTACATTTGGAGAACAATCATCTACCTCACATTTTCCTTTTTTGATTAAATACACAAAGTTTTTTATAACCTGACATTAAAGATCACTTATTTAGAAAAAGATAATACATAATTCAATCTGGTGCGATCAAATAATCCTAATTATTTGGTCGGTTTTGCTTGGTTTTTATACTTACAATAGATGCAGACTGCTATGACTCCCAACACCACAGAGACAAACAGAGTCCCAAAGCACCAGGCCACCTGCTGGTACCATCGACGTCGGTCTTCTTCGTTCTTATCAGGCAACAGAACTGTTGAGGATAAACAGCAATGTCCAGCCAATTTATTCACATTCATTTTGTTTCCATTTGTAAAGAATAATATAGTAACTGATAAACAAAAGGAGTGATTTTATTTCTGGTGCAACATTCACTCAAACAAGCTCCAATTTGTGTTTGTAGGATTCAAATAAAGCAGAATGTTGGTCAGATTTTGAATGTTGATAGAGAAATAAAATTAATGTTGTGCTTAATTGTAGCTGCGCTTTTCTCTGCACATTTCCCATCGCAACTTACCATTTATGTCAAGAGTGTTGTCACTTTTTTCACTGTCTGTCTTCAGTTCATCATACACAATCTCCTCCTCCTTTATAGCTGAATGATTAAACAATTAAAAGTTAGTTGTAGAATTAATACAAACAGTAACGTTTTTATTGTTACTTTCTTCAGAATCAGGTCTTAAAGGGGAAATAAAACCAGTTCACTTTAAAACCCATGGGTACATTTTCTCAAGACAGTAAGTGAAAAAAAAGGGATGTGTTTTTTTTTTCATAAAGTGGAAATACTTGAAGAAATAGATTACAACAACCAACAGAAGATTTTGAAAGAAGAGTTGTAAGTAAAGCTCTCCAGCAATTATGCAATATTTCCTAAAATGTCAACATTGCAAAAAAAGGCTGAAGTTTTGTTTTAGCTTTTTTATGTCAATTTGTAAGAACTAATTCAAAGTACTGACATCAAGACTAGGGTCTTTATGTTTGTCTCACAACTTACATTTTATGCTGGTGTTTTCATTTGCTTCACTGTGGACTTTCACTTCGTCATACACAGTTTCCTCCTCCTCCTTTTTGACTGAAAGATAGAAAAGTTCATTGTATCATATGCAAGATTTTATTATTATTTTCTAGATGTTATTTTCTAATAAACATATTTTTTTGTTTGTTTAAAAAGTTTTAATTTTTATCATACAGCATCTTGCAAATGTATTCAAATATCTTCAATAAATGTCCCAGGGCCAGTACATTACTAAAAACACATGATTGACTGACAGGGTTCATATTATAGAAATGATTTTTAAGGGTGAAAAAGACCATCAGAAAGGAGAAATAATCTCTATTTCTCTATCTCTATTTCTGTCTTATTTTCCAAATGAGACAGTTGTTTGCACTGGATGTAATTTAGTGTCAGAGTAAAAGTTATTTTTCACTTTTTATTTAAAGTATCTCAAAAAGCCTGTTTCTTTCAAAATTATTCACTATTTTGTATTGGTATATCACAAAAAATTTAATTAAATCCCAATTAAATATCAAGACTGTGATAGCAACAAGACAAAATGTCAAACAAGTAACTGTACATTTCGGAGAACTCCTCTGTACAGAGGTCAACAGGATCTTATTGAATTGTTTAACTTTAGTTTTTTTTTTGTTTTTTTTTACAGGGAAATGCTTAAGAAATACATGTCATTACACATCCTCTGGTTTTAGGGTATGGCAGTTATAATATGAGTAATCTCAAGTAAGACTAACATTTTAGAAATTCAATTTATTAAACATTTACAACCCAACCACGTCAAAAACGTTTCATTGGAGTTAATATTCATCCAGGCTTTATGACCTTTTACTGGTGAACTTGCCAGCTGGCTTTAGCTAAAACCAATACAATTAAACAGCATTTGATTGAAACAAATAATGTTTTTCTAATCAGTTATAGTTTCAAACCTGAAAGTAAAACTTTTAATTTAGCAAAATATCAACTGTGTGGTTTTAAATTTATATTAAAATGTATCAACAGACATGAGCAGAAACAAACATTATTTCCGTGAAGATTTGATATATAAAGAAATATGCAGACTATCTTAGTCTTTATAAGTAACTTATTACATTTAGGGTGTGTAAAAAGAAAAAAAAGAGGTAACTTACCCCTTGGCTGTAATTTATTTTTAGCTTTGAATACAACAGACGTGTAGATAACGTCCTCTTCTCCCGCCATCACTACAAACTTCTTAGAAATATCAGTTTTTATGATCTATACACAGACTCTCCACTGCAGCGGGATGTCATTTAGCAGAAGTGCTTCATTCTTTCTGCAGCTCTTTCTCACAGCTCTTAAGTGTTCAACTTCTGCTTTTGTTACAGGAAGTCATTTGCATTTATGTCATGTCTAAAAATAAGTTCAGTCATTCAATGGGATGTTTATGTGCTATGAAAAGGATAAATAAATAAAACATGGTTACACAAATATCATATGTGGCAGACAAAATGTGTTAATGTGAAATTCAGAATTTGAATGTTAAAACGGCGTGGAATAACCAAATCAGCTCCTCTGTTACTTCCACTTCTGTCTTTAGGATTGACATTGAGGCAGTAAATTAACCATAAATCCACAAAGACATTATAATTACCTTCTTAACTAGAGATTGTATTTGCCTCTTTATTAAGAATTTACTTATTAAATGATATGTACAAAAAACAAAAGTTATAGTTTGGATATTTTGTTATTAAGTTGTTCAAGAACTAAAACCTCTGATATTCATATTTCAAAGTGAGGTTACGCTTGGATGTTAAAATAATTTCAGAATATCGATCAGGGTTATTACCAGGTTTTACAAAGAAAGCAGCAAACATCTAAAACAACACACAGGACAAATATGAATTGTAATAATATGATACCATTGTTTACCTGTGTGTGATTTAAGATTTTATTCATAATGACTTTTATAAAAAATGCAAACTTTAACAAAAAAGAAATTAGCAAATTATGTTGTACAAAAACAAGACTAATGTAACCCAGTTTAAATCCATAATGCCACATCTCTTTATTCACTTCTTTGTTTTTGATCTTTACTGACTCTCTACTTTTGGTTTCACTCATTGATTACTTTTAACATTTGACAGCAAAATTTACTGCCAGATGTTATTATTAA